CTGAAGAATTTTTATTAACCGAATTAAAATATTGTCTTTCCAGGAACAAAGATGCTAAATCACGTCTTAAACATTTGCGAAAAAGATGGCACCTTCGACAACATCTATCTGTAAGTTTCCTGAAATGCTCTATTGCGTTTCCAGCGAGGGTGACGCCCCCTGGGTGTACAGACGCCCAGATAACAGGTAGTTGATGAGCTTGCCCGGCCTGCCTGACTTTATTGGTTTCAAGGAAGCCAGTGGTCCTAGCAACCAATGACTGACGCTAGGGGGTGGCCTGCACTGGGTTATGGATGGCAGTGGATGCACCGGCCTCGGAGGGCAGTGTATACACTGTAAGTCATTCATAACCCAGTGCAGGTAGGTGGTCATGGTCCACACAGAACCACTACTCGGCCAGTGTCCAAACCGCGGTCCGCCATTTACTGACCGATGCTATAGAGTTTATTACAGGGATTTATACACTGAGTGGCCAGATTATTATGACCACCCCATCAGTACTTCGTTGGGCCACCTCGTGACTCCACGAGATGATGAAAGGTGATGCAAGGAATCTGACACGGCACTGTTGCCCTTCTTTTGTCTTGTACCAGTCTTGCCCCTCCCCCGTTCTGGCCTAACATTGACTAGTCGCTGACGGCCACAATTCGCACGTTCAGACCCAGATTTACGGCTGACAGTCCGGTCTTTAAACACTTTAACAACAGCTGCTCTTGAACATTTAACGCATTCTGCTGTTTTGCTGATACTCGCTCCATGGCTCCGAGCGCCAACAATCATCCCGCGTTCAAAGGCTGTTACATCGCGTTGTTTCCCCGAATCTTCAGAAACAAATCACTTCTACTGTCGTAAACAACCCGCTTCCCTATTTATAATGGTCTGGCCCTCTAGCAACTTCAGCGCCAAATTATAGATAATTTGCCTACAAACGTCAGGTGGTCATAATAATCTGGCCACTCAGTGTATAGCGGCAACAATTTACGATCTAAGGAAACTCCGGCAAGCACATGGCGCATATGCCAACTCCATGCATATAGTGTCCTGTTGGTGATTCAATGCGATGACCCTGCGTGCTGCGAGGCAGAAGTGCTAACCACTGTCTACAACTGAACTAATATTGCCGTCCTTCCTCCCTCCCTCCCTCAGACATGTCCAGATCAGCAACGAATCAGCCATAGATTTCTACAGAAAATTTGGCTTCGAGATCATCGAAACAAAGAAGAACTATTACAAGAGGATAGAGCCGGCCGACGCACACGTCCTGCAGAAAAACCTCAAGATCTCCTCCTCCACCGCCTCGCCGAACGCAGACGTGCAAAAGAGTGAAAACTGAGCGAAATTTGCGGAATGAACCCTTTTTTTTTTGTTTTCTTGCACTTGCTTGTCGCCAAATATGGAAAAAAAAAAGAGACCCGTTTGAGTTTTAACTCCGACCGTTCACTTCTAATATTTCTTCTTCCTCTCCACTTGAAAGAAAAAAAAGTTAAAAGGTTTAAAAAAAAAAAAAATTTGAATGCTTCTTCAGAGAGCTGTACAATCTATCACATATTATTATATATCGTTTGATTGAACTCTAACGTGTTTTCATGGAGACTCGCAGGGAGTGACGGATGTTCTTTCTGGCTTTTCGACTTCTTTGCCCCGTTTGTTTGGGAGAGTGCGTGGTTCTATCCGTCTGGAATAGTCTTTAAATAAAATCTAATTTCTTTTTAGCATTCTTTTTTCTAACCTCTTTGCTGTTTATTTCACTGATGTGCAAACTGTGTTTTTGGTCTCCTGTGTTTTTTGTTTACTTTTTACAATAGAGGTGAAATATTTCAAAGCAATAAATGGGGATTTTTAAGGTGGCAAAACATATAGAAAACCACATGATATAAAATTATTTAATTTACTTGCATATTAAAATCACATAAAACAGAATTTCTCAACCTTTTTTCAGTCACGACACCCTGAAAAAAGTATGCAACATTTTGAAAAATGGGGGCCACACAAAACACACATAAAACAGAGGGCAGTCTCCCTTTTACAGCAGGCGGCAGTCTCCCTTTCTCTCCCGTTCATTGAAGGACACAGGGCAACAGATCGTAGATCCTGAATGGTAAGGTTCGCTTTTGCGGTCCCTGTACTCTGTCTCCGGCGCTCTCATGCCTCCCTCCCCCAGGCGCGCGAGAAGGAACAGTGTCGGAAGCCTACTTTTTTTCGCCCCCCCACCCTCCGACAAGGGCGGTAAGGTTAACAAACCCTCCTCTTCCCAATCCTCCCAGCGTCTTTTCACAGCAGGCGGCAGTCTCCCTTTTTCACAGCAGGCGGCAGTCTCCCTTTTTCAGCAGGCGGCAGTCTCCCTTTTTCAGCAGGCGGCAGTCTCCCTTTTTCAGCAGGCGGCAGTCTCCCTTTTTCAGCAGGCGGCAGTCTCCCTTTTTCAGCAGGCGTCTTGTAATCAAAAGAGTTGGGTTCCATCATTCCTTACCCTCAAGTCTGCAATGTAAGGTGGGTCCCCACACACACACATATAAAAAAAAAAAGCAGGGTTCCATCCTTTGCATCAAAGTCCTCCCAATCAAAAGACCCCTTTTACATCAAAGGACCCCCTTCACATTAGAAGCCGCCTCCTTCCACATCAGAAGAACCAAAGGCATAAAAGGAGACCACGGGGGGATATATATGACCCATTTTAATCACATGAATAAAATGATTACTTTTATACAATATGGTTTTTTTTATATATATATATGTTTGGCACCTTAAAAAAAAATATCACTTTTTTTAGTCTCTTTAAGTAATTCTACACGGGATTGCTGAGCAGTGCAACACTTTCTACAGATAGTGGAGATTGAGCAGGAGACATCCCACAAGAAACTGATAATGCTGGTGAGTTAAAGTAAACCTGTCACCTTGATTTAAAGTGACCCTAAACTCAGGATGAAATCTTAAAAATACATCCAAGTACCTTTAACTATTAACAACAATGTGTCTTCTTTGTGTATCACTCGGCTGTAGATCATCCAATCAGCTCTGACACTGTCCTTCCTTCTGGAGGGGGGCTACGTCTGTTCCCCATGGTCCCTGTGTGTGTTGTAAAGTAGTCACCGCTCCAAGCTCGCTCCCGGGATGGACTACAATCTCATGTTTAGTTTACTCATTTGTACTGAGATTGTAGTCCATCCCGGGAGCGAGCTTGGAGCGGTGACTACTTTACAACACACACACAGGGACCATGGGGAACAGACGTAGCCCCCCTCCAGAAGGAAGGACAGTGTCAGCACCAATTCAGAGATGATTGGAGGATCTACAGCCGCGTTATACACAAATAAGATACTGGGGGGGGGATTGATCAAAACTAGCAGATTTGCACTGCAGCCAATCAGCTTCTGTCTCTTTTTAAAATCTTACCTCAGCAAACTAAAGAGAGCTGCTGATTGGTTGCCATGGGCAACTGCTCCAGATTTTGATAAATTGCCCTCATTTTTGTCGTTACGGGACTTGAATGTATTTTTAAGATTTATCACCCAAGTTTAGTGTCACTTTAAAACCTTTACCATAAATATCGGCATTCAAATCCGTTTCTGCTTACTCTCGCCTCCACCTGGCACTTGTCTATTCAGGCACCAAGCATTGCATCGGAGGGCACGGGGAGCGTTCACATGAAATACCAACTTTGTATTTCTCCGGGTGACTAAAATTGGTAAAAATCCACGTTTTTACGGTTGCCACCAGAAAAGGAATAGAGAAGAAATCTTGTAACATGGGAAGCTGTTCTGTTGACAAATGTCTGAGGGGATTTCCTTCCCTTTGGCTTAGATTTCCTGTATTGTCCACGGGGCAGGAAATGAAGGGAAATCCTTCCAAGAGTCTCCTGATCCCAACCTTTCCCAAACTTTTTACTGTTTAGGAACTCTGGAAATACATTTGAGGCCTCGGGGGAACCCCTGCTAAAAATATATAAGTTTTATAGCACGATCAGAAAGCTGAAGTTTTAAATAAAAGAATCAATGCGTCCTTAGAATATTATTTACAACTTGCTTGAGGATCCCCTAGACCAGTGGTGGTGAACCTTGGCACTCCAGCTGTTTTGGAACTACAAGTCCCATGAGGCATTGCAAGGCTCTGACAGCAACAGACCTAACTCCCAGAGGCAAATGCATGTTGGGATTTGTAGTTTTGGCACAGCTGGAGTGCCAAGGTTCGCTGCCCTAGACAGAGGAACCCCTGGGTCCGACACAAGGCTTGTTGTTGCTCTAGAGCAGTGGTTCTCAACCTGTGTAACCTCAGGACCCGCATTTGTCCTCCATTAAGTTGTGACCCATGTCGCAACCGCACTGGTACACGTGGCATTGGCGGGGTACTGCATATTCCAGTGCAAGCGATCAAACTGTGGGCGGTAGGTGTGTTTGGGGTACCATTCAAATAAATGGCAACACAATGCACCCCCTGCAGCAGAACGATCAGTAGGTGCGATTGCGTGGTAGTTTGTGGTTAAAACACTGACACAACCACTGACACACACAGACATTCACACTTCCCCCCCAAAAAAAATGTAGGTCCAGTGTGGGCTGCTGTGCTGTGACAGCTCCATCCAGAATGTGACGTCATTCCAGTCACGCAGGGGAGCTGTAAGCAATGCACGTATGGATGGAGCTCCCTCACGGCCCTTGCTCCAGCCCACCTCACGCTGACACTCGGCACCGGGCAGCATATTTTGAATGGCAGCTCAGCACGAGAACTGACAGTGCTGCGCTATGGGGGGAGGCAGAGGAGCCCCTCACCTAGTGCGCTGGAAAGCATGTGGCGACCCACTGAACATGGGGTCACGACCCACCAGTTGAGAACCACGGCTCTAGTGTGTACAAATTCTTAAAGCCCAAACTTTATTTCTTTAGATAGAATTTAAAGAACATTTGTCATGAGAGCTACTTGGAGGCAACCACCGCTGACCTTTCCTTCTGATCATGCCAGTTGCTTGGCTGGCGAGCTGACTTTCTTGCTTCGCTGGTTTGAGTCGCTGACCTGGAAGCTAGCAAGCAGATGAGGAATGTGACCTCACTGTGACTTTTCGGATTGAACTTGCTGAGCAATGACCAGAAAATGATAAAGCCGCAGGGTCAGCCTAATTGGCAGGCAGCTAGAATTTTCAGAGGTCAGCAATGGCTACGCCTAGGGATGCACCAAGGCCGAGTACTCGTCCAAATGCTCCGATGCCTAGCCCGATACTCCACTTCCGGTATCAGGAAGCCAGGCAGCGAGTCATTCCACACGCACGCCCCCCCCCCGCTTTTCGGTTGGTCGGGAAGCTGGCTTCATGCTCCCTCGTCACCTGACCAACGCTGAAAATAGGTTTAGTATTGCGTTGCAGTTCGGGCGCTCGGGTTTAAAGAATTTTCAGCATCACTGCCTCAGGCAAAATAGGGAAACATACATATTCAAATATTTATACACTCAATAAAACACACACGTAATGAAACTCACAAGCAATAATAATAATAAAAAAAACACATTGCACACGTAATGAAACACACACACACACATATACAGGTGAAACTCGAATAATTAGAATATCGTGCAAAGTTCATTTATTTCACTAATGCAACTTAAAAGGTGAAACTTAATATATGAGAGAGACTCTTTACATGCAAAGCAAGATAGTTCAAGCCGTGATTTGTCATCATTGTGATGATTATGGCTTACAGCTCATGAAAACCCCAAATCCACAACCTCAGAGAATGAGAATATTACATGCAATCAATAAAACACGGATTGTACATAGAACAATATCGGACCTCTGAAAAGTACAAGCATGCATATGTACTCAGTACTTGGTTTGGGCCCCTTTTGCAGCAATTACTGCAATTACTTTTGCACGATATTCTAATTATTCGAGTTTCACCTGTATATTCAACACGTAGTGAAAAAACACATCACAGACCCATTTAAACACTCACAATGATGACAAATCACGGCTTGAACTATCTTGCTTTGCATGTAATGAGTCTCTCTCATATATTAGTTTCACCTTTTAAGTTGCATTAGTGAAATAAATGAACTTTGCACGATATTCTAATTATTCAAGTTTCACCTGTATACTTGCTCGTGTCGTGTTTATAAGGTTAGTAAATCAACCCCATTATCTCACAAACACTCCTTAGAAAACAAGACCACATCAGACACGTAATGAAACACACACACACACGCACATCCCACACACTCAATAAAACACACATTACCCACTGATTAAAACGCATATCTTCATTAAAAAACACACAGAACAATAAACATGAATAATTACAACATTGCCACCTCTCCTGCTTACCTGTTTTGCATGGAGGGAGTGGGGCACTGGGGGCTTATCCCTGGTGGTCCAGTGGAGGATCAGTGTGATCTGCAGCCAGAGATGCAGACCATACTAATCGCTCCCTGCCTGTAAGAAATGGGCACTACAAGGGAGCGATCAGTATGATCTGCAGATCATACTTATCCTCCGCTGGACTACCATGGGATGATTTTTCCATTTAATATATTTCCGGTTCGGCAATATATTAAATAGGATCTGGGCACCTGCCAGGTTTGAAGATGGCCGCCACTATCTTTAAAAACTTAGCGTGACTTCGAGACCCGTGGAGCACCCCCAGGTGAGAACCTGGCGTGCGCGGGCCGCGGTAACCAGCACCTAGGCTCGTGTACTACCAGAGGGGCCTCTGCGTGCCCTAGGTTCACCATCGCTGCTACAGGGTATTGTACAATCAGATTGTAACCTGTATGACCAGTTTTAAAAGGCCGGTCTGTAATGTCGAAGTTAAAAGCAGGCAACTCTGGCCCCTGATGACATAACTCCAGTGCGTTGAACCCGGGCCACCACGGCATGCTGGGGGTTTACACTTTGTGCACTGTAGAGTTTGCGATCGGGAAGGCAAGGAGCTTCTGGCATAGAATTTTTGTCCCTCTGCTCGCTGCTGGAGGTTTCCTCTCCGATCGGCAGCTATCCTCATGGATCA